TTTTCACTGTTTTCGGTCCCGGCGAAGCCTGACACCGCTGCAAGAGCAGTTTGCTAACCCACAACCTAACTAATGTTAGTTGCATTAATTGCTGTGATGTTGTTCGCAGTGTATCATGGTATTGGATACATACCCCCCTTTAACTTTTCTTTTTTTCAAATTGATTTTCCCATCGTTGCTTATATATGCAATTTCACTGACAATTTAAAACAAAAAAAATACTAGTAAAGTCTAAAAAAAACAATCAGTCCTACATCTGTGAGACGTATTGTCCCATGTTATATATGTCGTCTGCTCTAGTTTCAGGTACAGACTGCTTGTCAGTTCATCTACGTGGAGTGTGATACACTGAAAGGTTTGTATATTTTATTGTAATAATTCTTTAGCTTAAGCAAACAGAAGTTAGTAGTGTTTGAGCACTGTGATCTTACTTCCCTAATGCACTGTTGCATTGATCCCATTGTAATCTAGAGATATGTGTCTGTGTATGCTGTGTTTTAATGTTGCCAGTCTGACGTCAAGAAAACTAATCACACAATATTATTCTACTTTGTAATTCAAGTGATTAAGTTCTGTAACATCAGTTTCCTTTGTGAACAGACAGTTCATATGATGAGAATGCACAAAATAAAGAGGACAGAGAACACAATTGTTCAGCAATAGATGACCCCCCCGTCTCAGCTGGCACACACATTGATCCTTCCGAGATGTCAGGCATCATTGTTGGAGGCTCTGAGAAAGAAAATGGGGAGGAGTTTGTACAAAGTGATGAAAGAAAAGAAGATGAACAGAGAGAAATCAAAACTGAAACTGGAAATTCTCCAACACCTCTATATGCACCGGCTACCTCATCTCTAGACATCAAACCTGAAACTGAGAACATGGGAGCAACCAGCAATCACTGGGAGGAGAGAGAAGAAACGGAGCGTTGTGGAAATACCCCGGAAGAAAACAAAAGTAGAGAAGTGGGGCCTGAATTGCAGATACAATGGATTCAAGGATTTGAAGACTGTGAAAATGCTAATAACAATCATCTTTACATGTCAACTTCTGAAGCCAGTGGTCAATCTTCACCCATACAGAGAGGTATCAAGAAGGAATACATGGATGCAGTGTGTAAGTTCAGAACATTTCATGTTTTGTTTGTGCAAGCCCGAATATACATTTCAAAATTGAAATACTCCCTAATTGTACAGGTGGTAGCGCTCCCACTGAATCCCAGAGTGTGCTTGTTGACTGGACCACCTCTGGCTACGAAGCAGCGGAATCACAAGCGATGAAGCTAGAGACGAGGTAAGGTCTAACAATCACATCAGTTGGATAAACAAAGATCCCTCATTTGCCATAAAGAGATTTTCTTTCCACAGAGTTCCCCAAACAAGCCGAGCCTCAGACATCAGTCAGTCCTCCGACATGGCGGAGGCTGCGTCCTCTAGGCCCTCTGCTAGCTGCGTTCTGGATACAATGGACCTTGATCAGCTGAGGAGAGAGAAATTAAAGTTGCAAATAAAAGTCTTGAGGCTACAAGAGGAATACTACACTCAGAAAATAAGGGAACGTAAAGAATGACGCTGTTTCATTGGAGCCTGATTGGATGGTGCAATAGGACAATGTGATCGCTCAGGGATCACTGAGTGTTTACTCAACACTTGTCATAACCTGCTAAAGTTGTCAACTTTATCATCATTATTTCTATCTTCCATCATCATCCAGCAGACAGATTGTACCTATAAACTTGAAGCAACTAAAACAACCTATCTATCCATCATCTATACCCGCTTATCCTTTTCCATTGGTTCAGAAGGTACAGGGGGTAGATTGGGTCACAGGTTGCTAACCAAAAGGTTTGCAGTTCGATCCCCAGTTCTTCCCCCTGCATGTGGAAGTGTCCTGATACTGAGATACTGGACTCCACATCGCTCCTGATGCTGTGCCATCTGTGTGAATGGGTGAAAATGACATGTGGTGTACCTGACTAAACTCTTAATCCTGCAGAATCCTAAAGCAATACAAATTAATTAAATTAAAATTAAGTGCGAGGCAGGTAATGCATTTATGTCACACACCTTGTGTTATTATGAGCATTAGGCCTTTAACCAAGTGTGACTGCGTAATGATGAAACAAAGGAAAAGGATGACAAAAGAAAGAAAATAGATTTTCTCTTCATATTAAATGTTAATGTTAAAACTTGCCTTACTGCAAGTGTACTAATCATTACAGAACATGTGCTATTATTTAATGATTGTAAAATTGTAATATTGATACCTTTTTATTTGTATATTGTTTTAAGGCCTTTGCCTATATTGCGGTAGTTGTGGGAGGAAAGGTTGGAGGAGCACCTAGCACTCTGGGATCACTGGTACTGTGTAGAAGTAGTTCCAGGTTTCAGGAAGAAATTTATCTTATCTATATTTATCTTATCCTTGTTCTATTTTCGGCTTATCTTTGTAGATTGAAACTGAAATCATTTTTGTGCTGGATGTAAACAAGATGAATAGAAAACTGCAGTCAGTCAACTAAGGCAGAAATATAGTGCGAGAAAAAGAAAACAAGTTGGGGTGTGGGAGTTATACTCTCAATCCATCTGCTGATCAATACAGCTGAGAGCAGTACGATCTATATTTAGAGCTAAGTGGAGTCATTTTAGGGTTAACTTAGTACAGATGGCAGAAGAAAGGATAATACAAATGTCAAAAAACCCCAATTTATTATGAACTATGTTTGCATTCATTAAAAACGTTAAACAGAATTCATACACTTTTTGTGTTTTGTACATTTGTATTTACAATTCAATCAAAGCAGTGAGTGTGAAACAGTTGTTGCTACTACAGCCACTATTCTGTCATATTTTCTTCCTCTTCATCATGTTCCACCTCTTCTTCCTCCTCTTCATCATCATCTTCATCAAAGTATTTATCCTCTGCATCTCTGCTGACTATGTCCAAGTTGTCATAATCTGGGTTCTCATCCACCTCGCTGTAAATGGACACACATGCTTTCCATTAAAAACAACACAAACTGTTGGCGGCTGTTTGAATTTGACTTTTTCTGAAAATAACTTAAACATAATCATTATTCCACTGTTTGCTAGCTACTATGTTGTACCTCTATAACTATATCTATATATCTAGATATAAAGTGGAAACACTAGCGAGTCCACCACTTGAGACAGCAGGCATTTATAAAACATTTGAATTCAACAACAAAACCCTATTTATTGTCATCTTTCTCTTGCATCTGTCATTGAATATGGAATAAATCCTGTTTTTTTATTTGAAAAAACCCACACATCCTGTAGATATTTATAGTCATAGTATTTATTGACAACAATCATCAGATCTCACTCTAACCTGACTTTAAAGTGTTCAGTGTCTGTGTAACACAACCTTTACAGAGTATGAATGCCCATTCAGTGGTGGTGTGGCTGACCTGTAGTTGAAATCCTTGTCTTTGCCATCTAGGAAGCGCTGGTGCATCTGACTGATGAACTCCTCCCTGAGCAGCGCCTTCTCCTCCGGGGTGGGCTCCCCTTCCTGCTGCCGGACAGTGTCATCTACAGTAGGGACACAGAGAGAGTGACTTTTCTTTGTCTCTTCACTTCATTCTGCGAGAGCGACTTCAGCTCCACCCGTAACCCTCCCTTACCATCATCATCTTCATCCTCCTCCTCCTCCCGTGCTCCTTCCTCTCTATCCTGCTCCTCCTGCAGACGATTCTGGATGAGACGCTCCTGGTAGGAGTTGAGGAGGAGGTGGGCGAGCCCTCCTGTGCCTCCCCCTGGTTCCCCCTGTGCATCGTCCTGCATGGCCTCCTGGGAGCGCTCCAGCACCTGGTTAGTTAGCAGAAATTACTTTAAAAACAAACAAACAGCAAACTGAGCTGCTAATATCAAATAAAAGTAACTGACATCTTTTAAGTATGACAGCTCTGCATCACGCTCTCACCTCCTCGTCAGTCAGGTACTGGCCGATATATTGTTCATACAGCAGCGGCTCCCTCATTCGCATCTGTTCCTCACTGAAATACTGTCCCTCTAGAGGAGGAGGTAGGGCGGAGGAACAGAGGGATGACAAGCAGGAAAGAACACACAGTTCATATACTTCATCTAGCATACACTATGTACTACAGGACTCACTACTGGTTGGTGTAGAGACTGTTGGGGGGCAGCAGATATATCTCAGTAGTGGATAGCTAGCTTTCCACTGTGTGAGCTGACACACAACACTAACCTGTTATTCCAGCCAGGATTTGTGTGTAATGTTAAATTACCTTCCCACAGACATTCAGCTTACTATCTAGTTTGCTAGATATGCTGTTGATATGCTGCTGGTGTGATGTTAGCTATAGTAGCAGCAGCAGAGTTGGGAGTATTGCTGTGTGGAGCTGCTGTGCTGGCTCTGGGAAATCGTCTCCTCCTCTCTGCATGTTAGCTTCGAAGCAGCAACATTAGCGACAGTTTGCACACCCACGACACAGCGAATGTTAATTACATTGCTTTTGTGCCGTTGTTCGCTCTATGTGATAGTTCCTGTCATGATATTGGATTTGTCCAGAATTGCTTACACAGAATGTGATGCACAGTCAATTCAACACAGCTATGGTAACATGAGTCAGATCCTGGCTTATACTGAAAGCCCTTAATTCTTAACCGGTATAAATCAATATATCCTATGTAGTCCATGTGTTACCCCTCTGCAGGGCCCTGAGGGCGGCGTAGCGCTGGTTTCGAACCCTGGTCCTGTTGGTGCATGCCGCAGCTCGTCTCTGTATCACTTTGCTGTAGTGCTGAACCCGTGGATCTGAGCAGACGTGGGCAAAGGCTGACAGGTTCGGGGGCTTGAGGTAGGCCTAGAAATGGGGGCAGAGTAGATCACACAAAGAAAACAGATGAGCACAAAAACAAGGTTTTTGATTTGGTTGTCAGTATTCTAAATCCCTTTCCCTTTGACTGTGCTGTTTATATCAAGTGATTTATTTATGTTTAAACCCAAACACTTTGTTATATTGAACCCAATAACTGTCGCTATAGCTCCACCTGCACATTAACATCAGATTCACTGAGAGAACAATTCTGAAAATGCAGGAAATTATTAAGAAGCAGTTCAATGTCTAAGTCTTTGTTATAGCCCACAACTAGTCTTCTTTTTCGTATGGGGGCTGTCTGTGCATGGTGTTTAGGCAGACAGGGCATCTTTTGGTATAAAAAAACAGAAATTAAACATACAATTTAGTATTAACAACACCTCTGATACACTGAAGTTGATGATACTAAACACCAGCATCCAAACAATCCAACAACTGTACTCTGAAGTTTTCACCAACCTCCCAGCCCAAGGGCCTGTTTATATGTATAAATGCGAGTGCACAATAAACAAATACGCACACTGAGCTGTGCACACATACATGGTACCTCTCCAGGAACACCAGCGGCCTGCTGCTGTACTGATGCAGCAGCTCCTCTCTGCGCTCCTCCAGGCTCAGTTCAGCCTCTCCGATCTGCTGGCTCTTCACTGGACTCCCACTCTTGGCGATGGCTTCCACCATGTCATTTACACAAGTGGACTCTGCCTGGCTCACGTACTGTATGAACAGAAGAAACACCATCAGTAAAGCGCCGTGTGCAGATACTCGCTTTATCTAGAACAGGGTGTACTGCAGGTGATGCTCCGGGTCTCACCTGGGGGTCTTGTCGTGGGGACCGCGGCGGCCGTGGGTCCGCGGGGCAGTTTAAGTCACATCTCCAGGGCCGTGCCGCCGGTTCTTCAGGGGATTTACTCTCCTCTTCACTCTCACACGGCCTCGGCTGTGTTTTAACGGGAGGCTCGATTTCACCCCACATAGTTATCCCTTTAACCAGCTCGCTAAAGTGTTTCCAGTTAGCTCTTGATAGACAGCCAATGTGACGGTTCACTAACGTTAAACTAACGTGTTATATCCGTTGTCCGGTTATTTGTTACCGTACAGAATACGTTGACATAGACACCGGGAAGAGCTAGTTGATTTTTTTTGACTTAGTGCTTACATTCTCACATGAAAAATATAATTAAATTTGGTTTAAATGCGTCCCCTTTGATTTGTGAATCATTGTTTTTCGGCCATGTTGGTCCGTCAGTAATATTGGACTACTTTTCTGCGACCGACAGAAGGTTCCTTCCTCCCGTCTGTTCTGTTGATTTTGTCGCCCTCTGGTGGTAGTTTTTAGGGTTGTTGTTTTTTCACTATAGAAAAAGAAGAAGTGGAATATTATTTAAAAAAATAAAGAACAAAAAATATATATACACATACACGTATATTGTATGGGTACCTCAAAAATGACTTCCTGCGCCGGTTCAGAGGCTGCTGATCCAGTTGTACACTGCAATAATCCAGTCTGTTCTCTGTTCATCCATCACTGTCTGATTGGATCGGACACCAAACAGGACAGGAACAGACTACAACAGACAGTCAGGACTGCAGAGAAAATCATTGCAGGAAAAATCAGGAAAAAAAAGGCAGGAAACATCTCTGCGAATCCATCACACCCTGGACACAACCTGTTCCATTGTTTTCCCTCTTGTATGCACTAGAGAGCACTGTACGCCCAAACAACCAGACACACGTTTCTTCCCACAGGCCATCACTCTGATGAACAGTTAAATCTGTAATAGTGTTAGACATAGGTTTTCCTGTTCCAAAGATCATCATTGTCAATATTTTATGATTACTATTATATTATTACTATAGTAATAGTACACATTAGACCACACTTCACTACCTCTGCTAAGACATTTAGAATATAAGGAAACAAAGTGGTCTGACAGACACATAGTGGCTGAGAGATGAGAAACAAATCAAAATGATGTACAGGTTTATGTAGGCTACTTATGTGGTTAAAGACATTACTGGTGGAAACAAAGCTATGACAGCGCCAGGTGACTTAAGATAATAACAATAATCACTTACTTAGATTCATGTTGTTGTATAGTTTTAGTCCTTATAATAAGAGAGCCTGTAAATCAATTTAGGAGTGATTGCAGCCTCCAAATAGGGACACTGCATAAGGAGGCAGCTTCATATTTACTTTCCGTCAGACACTGTCAGTCTGCATATTTTAAATGAGATGCAAACTAGCTAATTACATTTTAAATCTATTTGAGACTGTGCATACAGCAGTACAAACTGACATGATACAGGCCTAACGTGCGTCCTGTTTTATTAGTTGATGTTGAAGCCTGTCTTGAAGAAGGTCCAGCTGTCAAAGTTTTGTCAGTTTTGTGCTTAGTTGTAGTATACAACTAAAATAGATTACCATGCAGAACAGGCCTAAACTTGCCATATTGCACAGTGAGAGAAATCAGGGTTTAGTTCGGGGCCCACACAGCTAATTCTTTGGCCAGGGGTCCCCGATTGAGTTAATCTAACCTCCCATATATGCAACATTTGATAAAACATCTGGATGTTGCTCTCCTTTTCCTTGTTGAACCTTGCTGTTCTTCTGGCTGCCATGTTCTCTCTATTTCTATTTCTGTTCATTGCTTTTATTGTGTCTCTGTTTTATATCTTGCTATCATCTTTTATTGTGAAACACTATGACGTCTGTGCTACATAGCCGAAATAAATGTAACTTTCTACAGTCCACGACAACAACCTATCAAGTCAAGTAGAGTTACAAAATGTAGCCTTCCATTCATTTGACTTTAGTTCATTTCTCTATACCCCATGGTCTTCCTTCTGCATGTGCGGATAAAACACAAAGCAAACTATGCTAAATACTTTCTTCAAGTAGCCCACACTGTCGTACAGGTGCATCCTCATATTCCCGGACAGGTGACTTCAGCAGGGAGGAGCCACTATTGATGTAGGTATATATATATATATTATATATATCAGTATATATATTATTTTATATATTTAATATGTCCAGTGTGGCCACTTGCCACTGTCCTCTCTGAGCTTCTGATAGAAATGCTGGACTGGATGGGATTGTGGTGGGGTCGGTCGGCGGTCCCGCGTGAGAGTGACTTTTGTCGCGGCGGCGAGCGGGTCTGCCCAGGGGTTAGGGGAGGAGTATGTTAAAGTGCTGCGACACAGGGACACACACACACAACACAAGTAAGCGGAGTCGAGCTATCTTGGGCACAACAATTGTTTACTGTTACAAGAACGGCATTCCCGGGGCATATGCTTCAAACCAGTAGCAAGTTTATTTTTTGAAAAGTTTTAAACAGGAAATCAGTACTCATCGTTGTTGGACTCTTACAGGAGTGTGCCCCACCTTCGGCCCGAAACTAAACAAAAAAACTTCCGCTCCCGGTTGTTTGTTGTATCCGGGTCTGAGTGGTATCAACAGTGAAACATGGGGACCACCATAATGGAACCCAAAGGTAGAGGTATTTACAAACCAAAGATTGCTTCCCCATGGAACTTCATGCGTGCTCGTGTAATTGCCAGGACCTCTCCTACAACGGGCACTGGTTTAACAAAAACCGTGTCCCTAGTATGGAGGAGAAATTTAGTTAATTAGGGGACAATCTCGCCCGGAGTGTTTCTAAAGTGGAATCCCTCGGCGTCCTAGGAATTATAACCCCTGTATGTTGCATTAAAAACTGAGTGGAAAAGCTGGGATAATGGCTAGTTTTATTTAGTGTTTAGTGAGTCAACCCAACTAAAGCTTCAGTGGGACTCACTGCCTTCTTTGTAAATATTATGGTTTTCTTAAATGTTTCATTTCGGCTATAAAAGCTTCTTTGAGCCACTCACTGCTTCTCTTGCTCAACCTGTCTTCTATTAAACATCTGGTCTTTTAAATACCAATTTCAAAAACACAGGTTGCAGATCCAAATCTAGCAGTTCTTAATTCTTAAACAGGTCCATGCTGGCTTAAAAAACGTGAGCTTACCCATTGGGGTGGCTGTTAGTTAAAAGACCACTACAAATTACCACAAAAAATACAAGTAGGACAAGAACTTTTATTTTGAAACCCCCGCAATTTCTTCTTTCTTCCTCAAATAATTCCCGAGGTGGATATAGCAGATTCTTTCGTGGCTTGCCCCCCATAAGCTCTCTTCCTTTTTCCTCTCAACTCAGACACTTCCTTCTAGCTGGAGTTCGAGGCCTGTTGAAGCCACTCGAGGGGGATCCCTATCCCCTCCTCCTCGCTTCCTCCTCTCCCCCTTTCCTCCTCTTCCTCCGTTCTTTCAGCTCTTCTTAGATTGGCAGTCCCTTGACTTACCTCTTTCTCAAGCTGCAGCTTGAAGGCCAAACCTCAAGGTTTTGGTAAGGGTCTGTTGATCCCCCAGTGTTTAACCTTTCAGGTACTCAAACTGCTGGCTCCAGTGGCTTGCTGGGAGAGGTCTTCCTGTTGCTTAATGGCTGGGCTCTTCTCTCCTGCAGGCTGATCACTGAAGCTTCAGTTCTCTCTTTCTGGAGCCTTGGTTTGTTAAATAACAACCTTGTCTCAATTCGTCTCTGCTTGGAGCGCTCCTTAACCTTTTCCTTCCTGACGGGGCCAAACGTGCTTGCTCTGAACTCAGGGAAGCTTAGCTTTTCACCTCCTCTACCTGAGTATTTAGAGCCTCGTTCCCGCTCGTCTCTGTCCGGGGCAGATGGGTTGAATCATGTTATTGTTGCACGTCATGTTACACCTTTGAACATATTGTAGATTTGCGATCCGCATGGTCAGAATCCAAACTGACAGATTCAATCGTTTGTTTCTCCATTGTACACTTTATATGCAGATTAAACATCTATCTGTCATCTGTTTTTAGTGTAAGTGGATCCAGTGAGATGGAGATCCCTAGGTGCTCGTTTAACAAGAAATAAAAACCAGGTACGTACAACAGCAGCTCTCTGCTACTGATTCTTCATATCTCCTTTATTAATCTGACAAAAGGCAGCTGTCAGACAGTAATTAGGAATTTTAAGTCGATTTCAAATGTTTCATCCATTTAGGAGTAATTCACTGATGCAATAAATGCGCATGGTTGGTGCTCTCTGGCTTGTGAATATTTGCTTTGCCACTGACAAAGCTGTAGAAAGCCCGGTTAGGTTTTCCTCTTTGAGTTGACACATTGACAGCTGTTTGAAAAGCGTGCACTCAACACACTATTTACATTCCAACACAAACACACCAGGATATTCTGGAGCTACATTAAGCCAGTGTTGCCTCTCCTGTCTCCATACAGTGTTTCATACAGAGCTTGTATCTCAGAGCAGAATGTCTTAGAGTCTTTGGGATGAGTCCCGTCTGTCAGTGAGGTCGTCTGCTATGAAATTAAACACATGGCCACGCTGTGCCCACGTCGATATTACTATAACCTGAAATGAGTCAGTGACATGATGATAATAACAGCTTTGTTTTAATGATACTGTCTCTTCAAGTGTTTCTCATTTGGACCATTAGCTACAGTGTTGTAGGTAGATAATAATTCCCCCGGGGTAATGAGCTGAGACAGGCTCTCTTAGCTCAAACCCTAACCTTAACTGTAGGTCAGAAAATTGGGCAAGTAACTGTAACACGTGGACGACTCTATGCAGCCCTTGTATTTATGATCATTGCTCGAACCGAGTAGAAAATCTAATTGTTTATGGGCAGTTTGGGATTAACACCAGAGGGCCAGACTGGTGTGTGATGTAACCGACTCACACTCAACTACAACAGACTGTTAATTAAATAATTGTATCACTCTCCTCTCAATCTTGCAAAAATGTATCAAATCAACAACTGACCATTCACTACTAAACCCTCCCCCGAGCAGTGATTGCCCAATCATAGCTTAGCAACAGTAACTAGGCAAGCCACATGCCAAATCTATATCAGAGTTTGGAGGGTGTTTTTTTTATTCTATTTCCAAAACCCAA